CAGTTAATTTGAAGAGAAATGCACGGCTTGCAGCACCTCTAGTCTTCAATGAGAAGCATAGTAGTGGATCCCTTCACTATCGCTCTGCAGTGTCAGGCAATTTATTTGGAGAAATGCACGGCGTTCACCATCCTATAGCCTTCAATGACGACAAAGTTGTGGATCCATTCACTATCGCTCTACAGTGTCCAGCATTATTTGGCAAGATATCTACTACGTTCAGCACCTCTAGTCTTCAGTGAAGCCACAGTAGTGGAACCCGTTGTTATCGCTCTACAGTGTCAGCATTTTCTTTCGAGAGAAACTCACGAGCTTTCCGCACCTATAGTCTTCAATGAAGCCACAGTAGTGGATCCTTTCATTATCGCTTGAAGGAGTACAGCATTTTATTTGAAGAGAAATGTCACGGTGTTCAGCGCCAATAGTCTGTCAATGAAGCCACAGTAGTGGATCCTTTCATAGTCGCTCTACAGTGTCAGAAGTTTGATTTGATGAGAAATTCTCAGGCGTTCCAACACATATAGTCTTCGAAGACACAGTAGTGGATCCTTTCATAGTCGCTCTACATTTTCAAGACTTCATTTGGCGAGAGGTTCACGGCGTCCCAGCACTTAGAGTATTCAATGGAGAAACAGCAGTGGATACCTTTTTTATATCGCTCTAAGAGTGTCAGACAGTTTTGTTGGATGAGAAATCAGCGGGGTCTTTCACCTTTAGTCTTCAGTGAAGCCACAGTAGTTCATAACATCATTATCGTTCTGCAGAGTCAGCATTTTATTTGAGGAGAAATTCACGGCGCCCAGGCACAAATAGGGTTTTAGTGAAACAAAAGTAGTGGATCCCTTCATTCCCGCTCGTGCAGTTTTAGGTCCCCATTTGGAGAGAAATGCACGGCGTCCAGGCACCTTAGTCTTCCGTGAAGCCACAGTCGTGGACCCCTTCATTATCGCTCTACAGTGCCAGCATTTAATTTGAAAAGAAATTCAAGGCATTCAGCACCTATAATCTTTAATGAAGCCACAGTGGTAGATGCCTTCATTAGCGCTCTCGCATTTCAGGTCTCCATTTGGAGAGAAATTTACGGGTTCCAGCCGCTATAGCCTTCAATTAAGCCGCGGTTTTGGACTACCTTCATTATCGCTCTGTAGTGTCAGCATTTCAATTTGAAGAGAAATTAACAGCGTCCAGCACGTATAGTTTTTAATTATACCGTAGTACTGGATCCCTTCATTACGGCTCTACAGTTTCGTTTCCTGATTTGGAGAGAAGTCCGCGGCGTCCAGCACCTACAGTCTTCAGTGAAGCCACTGCAGTGGATCCCTTAATCACCGCTCCACAGTATCATATCCTCATTTGGCTAGAAATTCACGGGGTCCAGCACCTATAGTCTTCAATGAGGCCATAGTAGTGCATCCCTTCATTGTCGCTCTACAGTTTGCGGTCATCATTTGGAGAGAAATTCACGGCGTCCAGCAGAAAATAGGTTTAATGAAGCCAAAAGTAGTTGATCCCTTCATTATGGCTCCACGTCGTCAGTATTTTATTTGATGAGAAGTCCGTGGCATCCATCACCTACAATCCTCAATGAAGCCACTGTAGTTTATCCCTTCATCACCGCTCCACAGTATCATATCCTCATTTGGCGAGAAATTCAAGGGGTCGACCACCTGTAGTCTTCAATGAAGCCGCTGTAGTGGATCCCTTAATCACCGCTCCGCAATATCGCATCCTTATTTGGAGAGAAATTCACAGAGTCCACCACCTGTAGTCTTCGATGAAGCCACAGTAGTGGATTCCTACTTCATCGTTCTAATATGTCAGGTCCTCATTTAACGAAAAATTCACGGCTTAAAGCACCTGCGGTCTTTGATGAAGTCACAGCACTGCATCCCGCTATTAACACTCTACAGTGTCAGGTCCTCATCTGCAGAGATATACACCGCCTCCACTGCCTGTAGTCCTCAATGAAGCCGCAGCTGTGGGTCTCTTCATTGCCGCTCTACAGTCTCACGTCCACATTTCGCGAGAATTTCACGGCGTCCACCACCTAAAGTCTCCAATGAAGGCCACAGTTGCCTCATTTCTTGATGAACACTCTACAATGTCAGGACCTCATTTGGAGGGAAATTCACGGCCTCCAGCACCTGTAGTTTTCAGTGAAGTCACAGTACTGCATCCCTTCTTTACCAGCTTTACACTTCCACCATTTCATTTGATGAGAAATTCACGGCGTCCAGCACTTATAGTCTTCGATGAAGACATAATACTGGATTTCTCCATTGTCACTCTAACAGTATCAGGTCCTTAATTTGTCGAAAAAATTCACCGCGTCCAACACCTATAGTCTTTAATAAAGCTGCAGTATTACATCCCTTCATTGAGCTGTACTGCGTCAACTCCCCATTTGGCAAGAAATTTAGGGCTTCCAGCACCTATAATCTTCGATGAAAACCAGAGTAGTTATTCTGTGATTCTATATCTGGTCTACAGTGTCAGGTCCTCATTAGGCGTAAAATTACGGCGTTCTGCACCTGTGGTCTTCAATGAAATCACAGGAGCGCCTCCCTTCATTATCGCTCTACAGTATCAGGTCCTCATTTTTCCTCGGGGTCCGACACGTATTGCTTTCAATAAAGCCCCGGTAATGTTTCTCGACCTTACTGTTCTATAATGTCAGGTTTATATTCTGTGAGAAATTTGAACAGGTTAAACAGAAACAGGTTTATATTCTATGAGAAACACTTCTATGAGAAACCCCACGACGAGCGTCCATAATTTTCTATAAGGCAGCACCAGTGGACTGCTACATTATTGCTCTCCAGTGCTTTATTTGGTGAGATATGCTGTGTTCCGGCATCTACAACTTTCGTTAACGACCACAGTGCAGTGAATCCCTGCATTATCGCTTTATAGTGTCAGGCCCTTTTTTTGGTAAAAAATCCGCTGCGATTAGTTCCTATAATTTCGGTAAAGCCCCAACAGTGGATCACTATATTATTGCTCTACAGTCTCAGGTTTAATTTGATGAGAAATTCGCGGCATCCGGCACCTTAACTTTCGTTAGCGACGGCATGTATCCTGCATTATCGCTGTACAGTATTAGCTTCTTATATGATAAGAAATCGTGGCGAGGAGCACCTATAACTTTCGGTAAAACGACAACAGTTTATCCGTGCATTATCGCTTTACACTTTCAAAACTTTATTCGATGTAAAATCCACTTCTTCCACCGCCTATAATTTTCAATAGATAGACAGTTGTGGATCCTTCATTGTCGTTGTAACAGTGTCAGGTCTATATTTGTTGAGAAACCCGCGGCGACCGGCACCTATAACTTTCAGTGAAGAGACAATAGTAAATCACTACATAATCCTTTCGCCGTGTCAGGCCCTTATTTGGTCGGAAATTCGTTGCGTTCAGCACCTATAACTTTCATTAAGACTTCAGTAGTGGACAGTGCATTATCGCTGTGCGGTGTCATTTCTATACTTGATGAGAAATCGGCGGCGATCGACACCTGTAGTTTCCAGTGATCTGACAACAGTCTATCCCTGTGTTATCACTCTAAAAGTGTCAGGTCCTTATTTTTGGGGTATGCACGACGTCCAGCTCCTGTAACCTTCGATGAAGTAACAACAATGGATCTTTACATTATTGCTTCACAGCGTCTGGTCTTTATTTGGTGAGAAATTCACGGCTTACACCACTTGCAGCTCTGCGAAGCCATAGTAGTGGATCAATACTTTATATCTCCACAGTTTCAGAAAGCGATACAGAACAGAGCATAGTTGCTCTTTATTGGACGTGAAATTGAAATGCACGGTGGCCCTCACCTATAACTTTCAATGAAGAGACATTTGTGGATGATTCATACATGACCGCTCCACATTATCAGTCTTCATTTGGTCTGTAATCCATAGACTCCAGCACCTATGACTTTGAATGGAGCGACAGCAGCGATCCTTAAATTATCGCTCCACAGTGTCAATAATCACTACAAAAGAGCAGTGAAGTCGCAGCAGTGGAGCTCTGCATTATGGTGTCAGGTCTTTATTTGGTGAGAAATCTCCGGCGTTCCACCGCCCATTACTTTCAATAGAGCGCAGCAGTAGGATCCCTACATTATCTCTGTACAATGTCAGGTCTTTATCTTGTGAAAAATCCACGCCGTCCAGCATCTATAACTTTCAGTGATTCCACCTCAGTGAATCCCTAGGTTATGTCTCTGCACTGTCACAAGACAATGCTAGGGAGAACACAGTTGCTCTTCATTTGGTAAGTGATCCACGGCGTCCTGCACCTAGGACTTTCAGTAAAGCGATAATTCTAGATCTCCACACAATAGTTGTACAGTGTCGAGAGACAATGCGAAACGCAGCGCTGTTGCTGCTCATTTGGTGAGAGATCCACATCATCCAGCACCTATAAATTTCAATGAACTGTCAACTCTGGATCAGTACATAGTCTCTTGCACTGTCATAAGGCAATGCTCAACACAGCACTATTGCTCTTTATATGTAAAAAAATTCAGTGCTTTCTCCTTCCATAACTTCTAACTTTCTTTAAAGCGGCCAACGTAGATCCGTACATATTTGTTGTACAGTGTCAGGAAGCAATACAAAAAAGCAATATCTCTCTTTATTTGGTGAGAAGTCCACGGCGCCCTCCGCCCATAACTTTCAATGAGCCGACAGTATTCTATCCCTACATTATCGCTTTACAGTGGCAGGTCTATATTCGGTGAATAATCGAAGTCGTTCACCACTATAACTTTTAGTGACGCAAAAATCGTAGATCCCTACGTAATCGCTCTGCACTTGAAGTTCACATGGAAGAATAAGATTGTCCGCTTCTTTGTCGAAAATGCTCTGTATCACGTAAATGGATGATGTCTTGACCAGTTTATGATTATCACAAATCATTTGATGTGACCGACACTTGCGATGTTATGATGTTACAATATATGCGTAATACATTATGGAGTGGTATGCAAAAGCGTGTGGGTCAGGTGGGATTCAAACCCACATTTCACTCTCTCCCGGAGCACGTGGTGAACCGTTGTACTACCGACGCCCGTTTCTGACACCACTTACGATACAACGCGTTATCTGTCAACAGCCAACCGTCAACAGTCTGACGTGGGTAGTCGTTATAGACATTAAATCCACTTATGCTGACAGATGTTGTGGTATTAATAATCCATCAGGATTCATTTTATCTGACTGCGTATTGCGGTGGTATGATATTACAATAGGCCCAATAATGTACAGTGGTGTGCAAAAAACAAATCAAATAAAAATGAGATAAAATGAACTCTGACTAATTATTGATACTCAGTATCCGGAATAGCACCCCCGAAAGAGTGACAACTGGGTCCGAATCCAACCCAACGGCAACGTTTTTGCTCTTCACTCTACATTATTGAGTACATGTATATGATACTCCCACAAGAACTGATTTGTAAATCAAAAGTTCTACAAAATCATAAACTACTTTGTTTTCTGTCAAAGCTTTTAGTAATCTTTTTTCGAACTTTTTTTTGCGTAGTTCTAAATGAGAATGAAATTCATTCATCATGGAAATATGCGAGCCTTATTAATTATTATGACAGAAGAAAACGTACTGAGGTCCTCTCATTTACTTTCGTTTCTTCATGTCGTTCTCATTCTTATCCCTTTCTAATGCCTTCGGCTTCATTTGAATCAAACTCTAGCAAGGCAAGTTAGAACTGCAGATAAAAACTACGTATAACTGATTTACTGTCACGTTGTCATTACATCATTTTAGTGAGATCTTTGTTGATGTGGTGAACTACTTTGCTTTTGAAGAAACTCTGAGATACATGCAATCAGTTGGGACGGCACATCTTATTCATCGAAAGGAGTCAAAACATTCATGTCGGTAAGTGGCACTTTAACTGAAAGTTATGAAGATCTGCAGAGCATGAAGGACAAGGTGTTCGACGTTGATTGAGTTCTAGTCTAACGACCATAAGTGTATTAAAGTCATGGTGTTTAGTTATTCTGTTACATGCATTATGATGAACTATATGTATAATCAATCAACCCACTAAAGTGATGTGAAGCCTCATGAAAGAATTAGTTTTTGAAAAACACATGAGAAAGTAAAAGTCGATATATATAGGTAAATTAGAATGGCTAGTCGACCATGGCATCTTCATTGAAAGATTATATCGATCTTATAACAAACGTTGCAATTTTTTTTCGTTTGAAATTCTTTACAGAATCAAAGTCTGGAGTTGACGTAATCGTATCGCTTTGAATTTGTAACACGTCTCAAACATATTTGCAAAAGAGATTTGGTGCACGAAGAAGTTCTAATTATTTGAGCGCTGGCTAGACTCGCTGTGGATCATGCTGTCATCAAGGTGTTCACTCTCATTCGTGACGACGACAGAGCGGTTATCCGTTCAGACGGAGCTTCATTGAAGCGCGATTGCTGCGTAAAAAGACGCATGGCCACATTGATTCTTTAACATTGTCTTCCTTACTTGGTATCCTAACAGAACTCCTGTTTATCTAGCTTTCACGAACTATACATGAACTTCTGCCATTACCCCTATTTTCTCAGAACACAGTACTTTTCAGAGTGTGAAGGAAAACAAGTCACCGTCCATTGCGCGGTAGCTATGCTGTGAACTTCTAATAGAGTTAACATTTTGAACAAGTAGAATGCGATGTCTATCTTCGTTTACGCTCTAATCTTATACAATATCTAAAGTAACCATTGTGGTGAGAAATTATAAATCAGTGAACTGCCTTCCAAAGATAATGCCCAATGCAGTATGTGACTCCGGATTGTCGCCGCATGAGAACTCCGCGTCTCTTCGTTGGCTGCACTCTCCGAGCCGCACATCTCTGGAAGGAATCCTCCCTCGTCGCAAGCTGTCTCTTTGGTATAGCGAGGTGAGAAGGCTTTTGCATTGTACAGACTCTCAGTAAAAAATTTGTGCAGTACATTTCTGAATAACTACAATATGTCTAGTGAAAAAGGCCACTGAATAGCGTGTGCCCGTCCGAAAGAGCAAGAACATGTGTATGCAAAATAATGCACAGTTTCCCATGAAGGTTGAATATTTTTGCTTGACAGGTGATAAAGACGAAGCCTTTTATGTAAGGCAGATAGTTTATTGAAAATCTATGAGCGTTTGTCGAGAGCCGAAGTCAAACGGATGGGCTAGCGGCTGAACGCTGTCAAATCAACCATGAAGAATGCGCGTGACTAACTCATCTTTTTTCGCTTGTATTAATCATCCGGACTGAACTGAAAAGATTGAACATGATTTATCGCTCATGACTGATTAGTTTATTCGGAAACCGAAATTCAGCTTCTATTTTCCAGTAATATTCATCCTTTCATAAATATGTTCATTAGCAAGCGAATTATTCAACTCGCACCTATACATGAATCACAACTACGAGAAAAAGGTTGGTATGTTTTTGAACCATAACCATTTTGAGATTATACGAAGCAGGAAGAATTTGTCCTCATCTGAAAATAATCTCTGTTTCAACCACGTTACTCCGGTTAATCTGCCGTGTCTTTCGTGTGCTGGATTTCCTCGAACAGAAACGACTCTATCAAATCGTACTGACTGGAAGACTCTGGGTCTTTGTTGGATCTCCACTTCCTTCACAAAGAATATAAGCAGCATCATTAGTCGTTCTTCCTTCGCTATGTGCTCTAATGTTTTGAATGTTTTCTTTGTTCATGTAATCATCATGCAGAATGGCTCATGCACACAAATAATATCAGCTGTTACCACATATGCTGTAATAACTATCAATGAATTGAAAATGTTCTTGCCCTTATAAAGACCTATAACTGATGATTTCGTGTGCAACATGAATACAAGATGTAAAAGTGAATTTTTCTTTGCAGCACAATCGTTCTCTGGACTGAGCATGAAGCATCTTCTCCTCCTAATTGCAACTTTCAGCATTGCATTGGTATACGAATCGTTTCCATTAGTGAGGGTGATCGTTTCTCTCAAAAGCTGTAGAGAAAGTCACGTGATCACTCAGGCATGTGCAAGCAACAATGATGAAGAAAAATGGACAAAACCATGTAAATGGAAGGGAAAATGTAACTCGAAGCCAACCCCAAAGCCATTTCGAAGAATGATTGAAGGACGGAGAAGACAGATGAGCCAGAACTTCCACCATCACTAGGTCAAAGACGAAAGAAGGAAACAAGTATCAAAGACAAGATAGAAGTGAGGGCAACGAAGGAAGCTAGTGTGTTTATTTGGAACCATTTCAAGTAATCTAAATAAGGAGCCGCAATTAGAGAAGCTTTTAGCATTTACTATCACGGACATGCAAAATATATTAACTATTAGCAATACATGTAGATCTAAGGAACTTATCTCGTTTAGCCGATGCGAGTTTGACGATAGTGCTGCAGTTGCGGTCGCAGTGATAGAAGTTCGGTGGTTGACGTTTCGGCTTCTTCGAAGCCTGGACGTAGGTTGTATTACTTTCGAAACATGCTACTGGACCGTAGATGCCTTTGTATACCGCCTAGGTCAGGTTAAAAGATCGAAGCGAAGAAAAGACAACATGTATCTGTGTATGGACGCATTCGTCCTTCCGATTCATAGATACTTCGCGTTCATCCAAAACACTCTATAAGTTCTTTACGTTGATGTTTCGATTTCTGCTCCAGGATCGTATCAGCCTCCTCAAAATCGTTACCATTGTGCTTTTATGCCCAAAGTGTATTGAGAGGTGAATTTTTTTGAATCCTGAATTTCCAAAAAGATGCTAGTCCTGTAGAAAAGAGCATCTAAACAGTCAATTCAAAGCGCAAATTGGATACACCTTCTAAGTACATATAGAGCGCTGAAACACAATGGCTACGATTCTAAAGTGTCGCGATCGTAGCGCAGAGTCAATTACATTAACGCGCAAAACTCTCAAAGCGTTTTGGATGTAAGCTGAAAATCCAAGATTGAAGTGGAAGAAGGAATTTGGCATTATCACGCGAGACATGTCGTCTTTTCTTCTTTCGATCGTTTTGACCGCACGCATACGGTATATAAAAGAGATCAACAGTCCTTCGGATTGTTGCAGCATTCAAATATAATTCACGTGCAAGCTCCGAAGATGACGGAGTCGCCTCAAGATCAGCTAGTTAACTAATATCACCACAAACTGTTACCAGCAAAAACTATTGCCATCCTCGCAAAAACTATTGCCAACCTCGCATCGCTAATTAAGGAAGGTCATCAAGAAATACGTTCATTATAATTAATACCTAGCTTTATAAAAAGTCAGTCTTCTCGATACACACAAACGTTTGTTTGATTTATGCATGACTTATAAGAGTTGGAGCAAGTGATCAAAATGAGTAATATACGGCATTTGATCGTTTGTAATGTTCATGGAATTCCTTCGTGATCAATCTTTGCAGTCGCTGAGGTTTCAGTACCTCTTATGTCTTGAAGCGTTGGCAATTTTGAAATACAATGTACCCTGGGATTTATTGAACATGAAATGCTTTTAAATTATGAATGAGTTTGAATATTTGATCCGTGAATAAATGTGGTAGTAAACTTGTGTCGCAAAATTATAATTTGACTCACTAGTTTCTTTCTTAGAGGCAACATCGATAAGAACAGATAGAATGGTATCAAGACTGTGATGATTCTCCTTGTCTGCTCAGTGATACTGCTGTTTAAAAACTAGTATAAGAGTTTACTTTTGTTCATCATATGCAAAGCTTTTGTAATTTCATCATAGTTGCGTAATCAGAAAAGGAAATAATGGTCATGACTTCTATTCTGCATTTTACTGCTTTTAGAAATTTCATAATGACATAATTACATATGAGAGACTGCTGAGTATTGGGCAAGACTTGAGACCTTAGGCAGGAAATTAAATCTTAAAAAGGGTAACAGCAGGACGATGATCTTGCTAGTGTAGTCGTAGCACGTGCCATCGGTTTGAGTAAAACCCAAACTCAACCCTGAGATTCCATGTTTTTTTCATTGACAGTAAATCAATCGACACGAGAAATTATAGTAAACTGGGTTTTCGTGAAATGTTTCAC